GGAAGTAACGCGCGGACCCCCGGGCTCCCGCCAGGCTTCTTGAGGGGCTCCACCGCTGGGCGAGGGCCCTGGTGGTGCCTGCTCGCAGCAAGCTTGCCCCGCAGCTCCCCTTTCCGACGCTTCTGGTACACTTCACCTCGTACCGAGCCGTTGTCGCTGAACCCCGCCTCCCACCCCCTTACCAAAGGGGCAAGTGAGGAAGCTGGTCCTGAAAGAGTCTCCCCAAGACAGAGGTCGCAGGGAAGTTCAGTACATCTCTAGGACTGCTGGAGCTGCACACCGACATCTCTAGAGAAGAGAAGGTGGTTGAAGCATCAGGTCAGTTACATGTATTAATCTGCTTTTTCTAGAGCTTAATCCCTTATTTTTCAATATAATGCTAAAAGAGTAAACAGCATACTTGCATACTCACAGGTAATTTCACTTTTTGGTCTTGGCAGAGCTACAGTATTTTAATTGCAAAACCACAAGGAGTGCCCATGAGGTGTTTTAAGCTATTCTTTACAAAGCAGAGAAGGATATAGGCAAGATCATTCATTTAGTAGCAGTATTCAGGCTGTTTAACAAACCAGAGCTTGCTGTCAGTTAAGTCCTGTAGCTGCTACTGAAAATCCTAACAATAGTTGTGGCTGCACAGGAAAGAACATGCCACAGTAACATCCAGGCAAAGGGAGAATTCCATAGAAAAAAAGAAGAGATGGCAAGCAGAAGGATCTTGACCACACTGAAAATGAGATAGAGCTCCTTTAGGGCAGGCAAAAAAGGAAAAAGAAGAAAGGGAGCCACACCGGCTAGATGGAATAACTATGCAAATCTGAAAGAGGCAGTTAATAGACTAAAGCATATTACCCAGTTGCAAGGACAAAAAGTCCTACCAAGATGAGGAAAAACAGATTCAGTTTCTACAGGCGCTAATACATCATAGAGCCAGGGTAGTAACACCTACCTACCTTACAGGTAAACCAATTCTCAACAAGACAACTGTAGGAAGCAGTAGCTGGTATGCCCTTGAAAACACAGGTTACAGAGAAGTTTCTCGCCTTTCCAAGCAGAAAGATTATGTAATATTTTCAAAAACATTCAGATACTTTGTGGAATATTATTTCTGTGGTTGTCACTCACAGCAGAATAAAAATACTAACATTACTTTTATTTTTCCCTCTACTGCAATTTAGCTATGGAAATAGGTCATTTTTTGCAATTATTTCATCAGTCTACCCCACACAATGGGTGTCATGACTTTAGAAGTAGCAACTCTGCAACTGTAACCAATACAGCCTGCAGACAATAGAAAGAAGGATCATTTCCTCGCTTCAAGATGTTAACTACAAATCTTGACTTAGACAGCTAAGAAAAAGGGTGGTAACAGCAGCAAAGAAAACAACTAAATAGAATAGACAGTTGATAAGATTGTGTTGGCTAGCTCAAAGCACATCTACTGCAGAACACAGACTAAATCTCTGGATCTAATTCCCTGCTAGATTGCTGCATCAGTCAAGCAAGGTTAAAGACTTTCCAAGCGCAAGTTAGGTTACCTCTGTGGTAACAGAAATTTTCTTAATGCAAGGTCAAAATTCTCTGTGATTCTTATTAGGAAGTAAAGCCCAGAGAAAGCTCTTATTAGGAAGTAAAGCCCAGAGAAAGCCAAAACTAGTTATCTGCGGTACACCTATAAACACGGTGGTATCTCCTACAGAATTATAGCCTGCATTTCCAGGGATGGATGAAAGGTAGTAAGAGCTCCACATAATACAAAGCCATTTGCTGATACAGTATTTCAGGCATCCTAAGTACTTGGTGAGGATCTCAAGTACAGTGCAAAACAAAAGTATATACTTTAAGAAACCATTGTGAGGCAATTAAAATTTCTGATGGAGAGAAAAAAACCCACAGAAGATATAAAATATAACTGTTTATTAAAATTAGTGTTTCATTTCCATTCAACACTCTGATAAAAGACAGAGGAAACACTTTATTCAATGGTTAATATGGTTACTGCCATTAAAAGTTAGACATAAAAATAAAACAAAAGCCTGATGCTATCAGAAAACAGCTGATCATAGAATGTCAGTTAAAACAGGAATGGCAAGCATATGTACTACCCTCTGGATACAAAAGAGTACAGAAATCCAAAGTGTTTTATTATTATTGCACAGTTTAAGCCTCAACACGCCTCTGAGGTAGGGGAGGGTCTTACCCCCCCCCCCCCTTTT